AATATTTTGCAAAAACTTTATAGTTTCACATTTCATATTAGATATTTAATCCTTTTGGTAATCTCCTTTGACCATGGTATAAGATAGTTATCTGATTTTATTTTCTTTCACATTCTACACCACTTTCTGTACATTTGCTAAGCAGTCAGGTTTTTCTCTGTTAATTTATAGTACTATCTTTATCTTCTAATAACATATTGTCTGTGAGCTGTCTACTCAGTTTGATTTATTTGTTCATACTCAAACATCACTGCTTTGCTTAGCTTTGTGTATAGATGGATAATAGGGTATGTTCATTGTTTTATTTGGCTAAGTAGCATAATGGAAGTCCCAAGGTACTCTCCAAAGAGTGATATCTAAAAGTTCCAATAAATCAAGCATCCAATTTTGCTTTTTGTTTTTGAAAAATGACAGCTTTTCAATTACTACTATTTTTTCACACAATATTTAGAATATGGATTTTCAAGTTCCTGAAAATATCCAATTGGAATTTTTATTAATATTTTGTTAAATTTAAAGATTATTTGAGGAGACAATTAACTTATTTATAGTATAAAATCTAAAAGAGAGGACTGTCTCTCCATTACACATTTCTTGGTTTTTCCTTTAATAGGTATCTAAAATGTTTTCTAATGTAATCTTATGTATTCATTTTTAATACATATATGTATTAAAGTTTGTTAATAATCTGTTTTCTTATTTTAATATTAGGCTAATTGTCTTTCTAGGGAAAAACATAATTTTTGGAATTTTGTATTTCATCTGACAATCTCACAAAATTCTCTAATAAATTCTTATATTGGTGTATTGAATCCATTGGCTCTTCTAGGTAGATTACTATATTGGTAGTAATATAGTAAAAAAAGGGCACATTCATTTCTTTCCTATAAAATCTTAATTTTGTTTCTTTCCTAAAAGTTTACCTCAGAAATTTGTACTATATTAAACTACAGTGATGACAGTGTTATCCTTGTTTTAATCTTAAAGGAAAATCATCTACTGCTTTGTCACTGTTTAAATTCTCCTATAGGTGTACAGTTTTTAATCAAGTTCAGGAAGTGTCCTTCCATTCCTAGTTTAAAAATTATTTTAAATTTTAAGTGTATTTTATACATATAAAACCTTTTTTCTGCCTTTAATAAGAAAATTCCATATTTAATCTATTTTATAAAACAATGAGACACTTTTTGATGATGAACCATTAAGGACAGATTGGTTGGGATATGGCTGATAAGCTAATCGTACTTTATTAGGACTGATTAATTTCCTCTTGATTTGCATTTCATATGTTCTAGTGATTAGGATGCAGACTGCTTTATTTATCTTCACATTGCAGTTCACCGCACAACATTCTTCATGCAGTTAACAAAAGACATTGGCTTAATAAATAAAGGAAGGATAAAAGAAGGATAATAAAGACACTATTAGATACAAGAAACTTCCTCTGAAAGGAACATCCAGTGAGGTCCATGAAAACTGACTGAAAATTGTGTATACTTTTAACACACTCTTAAGAAAATGGGTATTAGGTTCATTGATGGTCTAAACCCATAAGAGAGTTTTTGCTCCTGAGAAAGATATTATCAAGTATTTCAAACCCATGAAATTCTTTTCCATGGCAAAATATTTTCTGTGATGATGACAATTATGAGAGGAGATAATGCTAGATGACCTTTAATCATTTCTTCTTAAATCAACATATACTTTTTGTACAGAGAAAAGACTCAATCCCTGCCCTTAGAAGCTTTTATACACCACTGGGAAAGGAAGACATTAATGTTGTTGGAACACGTTCCTTTTTAAACTTCCAGATAGCAATCTGAAATTAAATTTAACTCTAGACTTAGCTTCTGAGACTAAGAAAAGAAGCAATGGATATGTGATTTACAAACCCTAGGTATAAATTGGCACCAGGAAGGAATGATGATAATCCAACCTAATCCAACCAGCACTTCATAAAGTGCCTTCCTCTTGAGCAAAACACACACATGTAGATATTTTCTAGTTAATTGAACCAACAGCATCTTCAGAAATTGGAGTCACTATTTTGGCTAAACAGCTTTAATTGTATATATCTAAGGTTTATTGAATGATTGATACTCACTTCTGTTTATCATTTAGTGCGTGCACATCATAAATAAAAGATCAGTCATATTTTAAGAGATAATGAGCTAGGGGATAGATTGGGAAATTTTGTGGAGTTAACATAGGTAGATTAAATAAAATGTCTTATTTGAGTCTTCAAAATATAAATGAGACACTTAAATATCTTTTAATTGAAATTGGAAACATGCTAAATTGATAATTGGAATTCTCCAAACTGAAAACAAACACCTTAACTATACAAAAATAGGAGAGAGAGAGAGAGAAAGTTTAAGTGGATCCACTCTATAGCCAAAGAAACTAACACTGTCATTTACTAGTTGTGTAACCATGAACAAGTTAATCTCTCTGAGCTCTACTTTATCTATAAAATTTATCTACAGTATAAGGAAATGTGTAAGGCACTTACTTGGGTCCATGAGATATCAAAGTACTCAATACATTTGAGATATTTTTATTTGTTATTATGAAGGTGGTTCTTTCCCATCAGCTCCACTATCATGAATTCATAAACTTTGTTTCAAGAGTTGGAAAAGTACATGGAATAACAGGCAAGTGCCTAGATCCTTCACAGTGGCTACAGTAGTCTCCAAGGGTTTGGAAACCACTGGAAAATTTTTCTTCTGATTATGGCCTCCTGATGGTCTTGGGTGCCTTATTGCTTCAGTTACCAAATATATTTTGATAATTCCCACTCCATAGCTTTTCTCCTCCTCGAACTTCAGGCTTGTGTATCTAACTGCTTATTGAATCCTCTCAACACTTCAAATGCAATAAATCCAAAGCTCAACTCACCAAACATGCAGACCTGATCTTCCTCTCTGACAGATGTGAGGGTCAGGGTTGATTTAATTGACTAACTGACCAGGCTGGTTCTTATTTTCTCATAAATCTGTTAGAGATTAGAAAAGATCACTTTCCATAGCAGAGAAGAGCTGTTCTTCAGTCAAGGATAAGTGAAAAAGGCATTGTTCCCTTCTACAACATTCAATAAGCCATTTCAAGAGATTCTGTAGCTTGAACCATGACTATTTTTTTTTTCACACAGAGTATTTTAGTTGCTTCTAAGCCACGTGTGTGTGTGTGTGTGTGTGTGTGTGTGTGTGTGTGTACTGGGGATTGAACTCAGGGATGCTTAACCACTTAACCAAATCCCCAGCACTTTTTTTTAATTTTGAGACAAGGTCTCACAAAGTTGCTTAGGGCCCACTAAGTTGCTGAGACTGACTTTGAACTTGAGATCCTCCTGTCTCAGACTCCAAGCTGCTGGGATTATAGGCATGCACCACCACCACCCACCTGGCTCTGATTGTGCCTCTACCTCTCATTGGCTGGGATTTTTTCATCCTAGAGTGTAAATTACAAGCCCTGGGTGACCTGCCTTCACCACTCCAGTTTCCTCACAGCTTCTTTTGACTTCACACTTTGTTTCAATAATCCTAAACAATTTTCCATTTTTCCTTTCAAGTTTGATAACTTTGTCATTTTGCTGATGCCTTTAACAATATCCTTTCCATAATGCCTACTCATTCTTCAAGGATAATCTCAGACAGCATATCTCCAGGATGGCCTCCCTGACGAATTCGGGCTGGGCTACCTGACAGCTCCCTGGCCCCCCTTGCATCCCTGGCTTGCTTACTGCACTGCATTGACAAGACACCCCCTTCTTCTGACATCTAAGTGGTCAGCATCTCCAGGTTAATGCTTTCCTATCCTGCATCCCTAGCACTATGCTAAAATTTAGTGAAGGAGGCTGAGGAAAATGTGTGCTGAAGATGTTCAAGCAGAGATAAATCAGAGGCTCTAAACACTGGCTGCATACAGAAAACAACTAAGGATCTTTTGAAAATACAGATGCCAGCAACTCACTCCAGTTCACTGAAGTCAGAAGTTTTGGAGGGGAGTCTAGGTGTTTAGGCATTTAAAACTCAGGTATTGATAATGTGCAGCTGGGACTGGGAACCAACTGGCTCCATGATCACTGAAAAATGATTTGGTGAATGGTTTCCAGAGTCAGATAAAGGTTAATGCTTAAGGCACCTTGACTCATGAAGTTATATGACATGATTGCTGATATTATGTTTAATTTTTTTTAAATATTGCCCCCCACATTATTATAATGTTTTGTTTTGCACTCAGGTGACTTGGTTGATCAGTCAGGCACCAGATTATGATCACCCTAAAACCTTAATGTTCTTGAAAGAATATCCTCCAAATTCAGACATCTGATTAAAAGATTGTGAGAAAATAGTCTCAAGGGGCGTTTTACATGCCTCATAGATTCCTATAGAGATAGATATCAGAAGTCTCAAGTGTGAAACTTCCTGGTTCTCTCAAAATGCCATATTTGTAATATGCAAACCATTGCTGCCTCTTTATAATGACTGTAGTGAAGAGCAGTGAATTTGCTTTCTTTTATAATATCCGGGCCTTCTATAATAAAGGCAGTACCATATTTTGACTCCATGTACTTTTATAATGAACAAGACTTGGTAGAAGTTCTATATGGAATAGAAATGCTAATTTGGAATTAATGCAAAAATTATTAGTGTTTGTGGGAAGAGTAAGTGGCTATAATTTTGCCATTCTGAGTACTTTTTAAGAAAAGGAATGTTTAAAAATATAAAAATGGTCAATCAATATGTTAGGAGCAAAATACCCTGGAGTACTGAAATTTCAAAACTAATATTCAAACTCTGAATCTGTTTGATTAAAAAAGTTTAATGAGCTATAAAATAAATACACTTCCATTAAATATTAAATAAATTATTTACAACTTGAAAAAATACTTTTTATCTCCATGCATCTCTTTATGTACAGAAATTATTTAGCATAAAAAAGTGACAATTGAAAGTTTAAAACCATCAGAACAAAAAGGTTCCATTTTCTTCACTGAAAGGAGGACCGATTCATCATTTACGGTTGTGACTTCGCAGTGACTCTGACCTGATACCCTGTTAAAAAATAAAGTGTTAGAGAATAAGCTTAATTCCAACATAGTTTTAAAAAATTTCAATGAAAAATCAGCAATCAGAATTTTTGCCATTTTTTTTCAAAATTGTTTTATGAAAAATGCTAAAAGCTTTTCAGAAACAAAATATTGCTTTAGCTTGAATTCTCTTTCATTTCTGCTTGGGTTATAGGCCTCCTTAGAAAACTAAAGATGCTCATACCAGTTGCATAAATTTCTGCTTAATAAAAAAAGCAATAACTGTCATGAAAATTAGGTTTCCTAACTAAATCTACACAGTGGACATAATTAAAAACAGAGATTAAGTGGCTCATTGTACTTATGATATGCAGTTAATTTAGGATAATTAGTACCAAGAGCATAATAATAGTAGCTACCAGTTAATAGGCAGCCACTAAATGCCAGCACAGCATATTCCTTTTCCTAAAATTATTCTGGGACTTACACTGAGAAATCTTGATGGCACCAAATAACCAAAAATCTACCCTATTTATATTGGTGGTCTTAACTTCATCACAATAGGCCAATACATTAAAATTTTGATGTAATAAATACTGAGTATAACACTGCTATAAATAATGATTTATTTCATGAGGTATGGGACTAATTCTCTAACAGGCTGAGAATATAATATCTGTACCTAACCAATGTTAAATAGAGTAGGGTTCTCTAAGCATCAGAATCATCTGGAACACTCATTAAAGATAAAAATTTCTGATTCAGTAGATTGAGCATTGGGCATAGGAATGTTCACGTTTAACAAGCATCTCAAGTAACTATTAAACCCACTGACATTAGGAAAACAGCGCCTTAAGGAGGTGACATCTTCAATGTCTGAGGAGATGAAATTCTTTCTTATGACCGACTTTAAGTGTACCCTTGATTTCTTTTCCTCCCAGTTCCACTGGAAGTTTTCTTTCATGAACTCCTTTCTTTAGTTGTCAATGAATTATCCCTCTTCATACCTTCTTACCTTCTACTTACAACATGCTAACTCTCCCTTTTTATTTTTTGGTGCTAGCATGCATTCTACCACTGAATCCTACTCTCCAATCCTACAGCTCTCCCTGTGGACAAAAGTGTGTGTGTGTGTGTGTGTGTGTGTGTGTATTATTTATTTACCAAGTTACATACCCCTCTCTCTGTTTCTACTTCCTTTCTTTAAAAGGAGTATTTAATCTACTGTCCCCACTTCCTCAGCCTTTTAGAACAAGCACTCTACTCTGGCTCTCCACTGTATGAGCTCAACCTATCATTACAACGTTCCCTTCTCTAATATTCACTGGAGCCAGGCTGTTTTCTAAAATGATCTGTTTCATCTCTCAGTATTTAACACTCATCTTCCTTTTCTTCATAATTGCTTTTTACCAATCTCACAGGTCCTTTAAGGTTTACCTTCAATGTCACGCTAAATATATATAATTTCCTGCTACCAAAATGCCTCTCACAAGATTTTTTCATTCATCAGAAATTTTTCATACTCCATTGGTTCCTTTCTGGTGACTTCCCTTAGTATTCTGATTCTCTGCATTCTCCCCTATCTAAATGTTATGTTCCTTGAGAATTCTCTCACATCTATATACTTTTTAATACTGAATAAGTACATAGCCTATTCTCAATTCCAAACTCAATCTCATACTCAAAGAATAATACTTTCATATAGCCATTAAGAGTATGTTCATAATTAAAAACATATTCCTCATTTTTCTTGAGATTAATAGTGCTATATTTTTCACAAGTATAGGATATAATGTAAAGTCAAGTTTACAAGTCAAACCTGTATTATCTTCAGTTATGCTATAGAATGTGCATGTCCATTTTCTTGTTGAAGTTTCTTTTGTTCTTCTGCTTCTTCTTCTCTGAAGTATCTTTTTCGAAGCCTTGAGAGAAGAAGATTTTCTACTGTTACTAAAATCCCATCCATCTATATGTTGACTGAGGTTTCCCCAAGTACAAGGGATTCCTTTTCATGAGCTCTTATAGACAACAGAGCAGGATACTTCATGCTAAACAAAAGCTTAAACCCGACTATAAAATACCACCAGTATTCTCTTTTAAGGTGACATTTATGTTGCCTTTATATAAACATATTTCCAGAGAACAGAGGTTTAAATGCATCTTTAAGATGTAAACTTTCAGAAGGCATGGAACATATCCAAATGCCTTTTTTTTTCCCTTAGGAATTTAGCACAGCTGCCAAATACACTTGGAGGAGATGGTGGTATAGTTTTATAACACATGGACTTGATGTTTATACACACCAATTTAAATGATCAGAATTTTTTTAAACCAGCTTACAAAAACAAGTTGTTTTATTTATTTCTAAATATAAACATTTCCTTCTAATTTCATACATTGCTATAAAAATTCAGTGGATTAAAAAATTTTGACATTATACAAGCAATTAAATTTTTAGTAGGTCTTTAATAAATCTACTAAACATTATCATCAAAATCATAAGAACTTTCATTATGATATTTAAGGAAAAAATTTACTTCAGTTATGGAAAACCCAGTAATTATGGCTTAGGCTTATGTTTGTTTTGTTTCATATACAAAAAGAATATGAGAGTAAAGGAGGAAAAGTGTGGCTTAATTTTAAGTGTGCTAACATGATAGCTTTCCATATTTTTCTAAAGGATTATTAAATATTGCAAGTTGAATGACTGAAAAATTTAATTATTGCAAAACACCTTTCTTAACAAGCATTTTTTCTTCTATCCCCCTATATCAAATAGTAATGATTTATCTGAGGATATCTTCCTAAACACATTTATATATCTGACTTGAGGTACTAGAAGATCAGAATAAATTCCAGGATGTGCAAAACAAATTTAAACTATACATCAAGCTTCATGTGCCTGATAAAACAGTTCTTTACATGCCATTTTATTACTATCTGATCTGAATTTAAGATACTAGTAAACAATAGCAAAAGATAACCACTTGTTTCCTGAAGGACAGCAGTAGTAGATCATGTACACGATCCAGTGAAAAGTAATTTACCAAGACCTAAAATTAGAATAATGAGTCCACTGCTTTTCCCAAGCTCCAGTGGCACATGAGTCATCACAGAGCCATTCATGCCCTCCCCCAACTTCCCTCATTCAGTATCTTCTGTTTGGTAGACAAAGCCGTTTTATGTACCCATCAGTGCCTACTACATAGAGCAGGCCAGTTCTAGCTTTCATTGGTCATGAAGTGAAGTATGTGATGTTGTTAGTAACAGAGGGAAGATATTGTTGGAGTGAAGCACTAATAGAATTGTTCTTGCTTCCTACACCATGCCATCTGGAGGAAATGTTTTGGTTACACTCTCATTGTTATTTGACAATAAGAAAATAGGCATAAACTGTGAATAAATTATCACTGTGCTATGAAACTACAAACTCAGGATTTTGCATTCCAAGACAAGCAGAGACATGTCTCTTCTGGGCTGCCAATTTGAGGTTCTTTGTGATTTTTAATACCAAGGCAGTATGTCTGATGCTATGAATCTACTATTATTTTCTGGGCAACATGCTTCATCTTAAAATATTCATAGAAGATAACAGCACTTTCTGAGATTCAGAAATAACTCTGAGAGAAAGATGACATGCAATAAAACCATCTACTTTTAAGTTCAAAAAATTGCTATGAAATTCTGAAAGAGAACATAATGTGTTGAGTTTCTATGGTAGGCAAAGTAATATAAATTCTGACTGTATTATTCAAAGATCATATGCTACCAAAAAATAACTAATTCAAAATATTCTAGTAGGGTGTGATAGAAATATTGAAGAAAATTAACCTTATTAGGAATTGTTAAGCTGTGCCATACTTACTGGACTGTAATAACAACAGCAACAGCTGTGAAGCTTGTAGCAGAGACAAAGGCAGCTATAGCTGCTAACGCAACTTTTGAGAAATCTCTGTCACCCATGCTGTGAGTCTTCATGGATTTTTCTCCACACCGTTCACCAAAATAATCATGATGACATCTGCAAACAACCCACATTTAGAAATTATAATCACTAAAAACGCCTTATATATTCCCAGTTCACTTTCTAAGTCAAAAACAGCTATGTAATTCCAACATTTAAAAAAAAAAGTTATGTATTTGTATTTCAAAATCATGAGACATAGAATGCATTCTAGCTAAATATCCATTAGTCAAGATTAGTTTGGGTGTGTTAGTCCAAGAAGACACACCTTGCTATTCTGTGTGCTTCTTTTATGACCAACTGATGAGTTCAGTGACTTATACAGTTAATATATTCCACTATCATCTAATGTGTTAGCAATTTGGGGGGGCTAGAACAACTTGAAAATTAGGTGAAGAGTTGATTAAGGATCTTTTTTTAAAAAAAATACATATTGTAAAACAATAATTTATAGCAGTGATCCTCAAAAATATAGCACACAAGTCCAATCTGGCCATTTGCCAGGTTTTTTACAACTCATAAAAATGAGTTTTTAATCCCTTTAATTGGCTATATAAGTACAAATACAATCTCAGCCCATAAAACCTAAATATTTTCTTCCTGATTCCTTAATAAAAAGTGTGCTGATCACTGGTTTATACACTGGAAAAAAAAATCAGTGGTTTTCTGCAGCTAGGGATTTTTCAGATATGGTGTAGGAAATATATAGTTCTATGTAATTCTTTGAAACTTACTTGCATGTTACTGCCTCCAGATTCTCTATATATTTGCATTCTCCATGAATGCAGAAATTTTGAAATTCTGCATCACATGGATTTTTCTTCTTTTTGTTTCTTCTATTTTTTCCACTTTTCCCTCCCTTTTTCTTTCTTTTGGGTTTATCTGAAGTCTTTTCACTTTCTGTTTTATTTTTCTTGGGCTTAATTACCTGTTCAACTGAAAAAAGAAAATTAGATTTCTTAACAGTCTCTCTCATCTTGAACATTATTTTGGATCCATGAGACAAAGAAATCAGAGCAGTGAGAGCTCACAGGGATAACAACCATGTTTGTCTCATTATTTAACACAATACACACAATAAGTGGGCAGAGAATATCTGTTGTATGGCAATTAAACATCTGAACACCTTAGTTATTTACACATTTTTATTTTCATTATTTGTATTGAATGTGTATTATTATCATCATTAGTATTAATAGTAAGACTTATGTGTCTAATAAAATCCATTAAACATTTTTAGCATTTTTTGAATTTCTAATACATTCCACGTTCTTGGCAATGAGTATCAATTTACTTGAATCTAGATCATGACTGCATGCACTGTTATCCATATGACATAATGAGGAGACTGAAATTTAGTGAAGACAGCAACTTGTCCTAGGATATGTAGCTAGAAAATGACTGTGCTGGGATGACGATAGCCTGTTATTTTTTCATAATACTCTTCCTTCTCTTTGGAAAGGTCAATGTCATTGATTAAAATGACATTGAACTTGGGGTTTATTTGCTGATTTCATTTACCCATATTGGCCCAGTGCTCACTGTTATAGTTGGGAATTAGTAGACACTATTGGAGAGTGCAAAAAACTGAGGATTATATATTTAACCAATTTTTCCAGATTACAACAGATCACAATTGATACCTTTCATGATGCTCATTTCTGTGTTTGATCTATTTAAAATAATCCAGGAATATTTGTTAATTGATTCCTTGGACATTTAGCTTAACACAAATCTATAGAAAGTTTGTTCAGGGTGTAACTTTTATGCTAAAGTCATAGAGGGGAAGTTTCCATTTAGTGGTATGCATTCTGTTCTACTAAAACCTTAATAGGTTTTTTATGATGAACTATTTAGCAAGCAGATCCCAATGAAAAGAGAAAATATCATTTATCATAAAGGTCACACAGTACCCATTACATAGAAAACTTCAGAACCACAGTGTGAAGGTTAACAAGAGTATGATAAATAAATATTATGAATATTTCGACAGGCTATTATAATAACACTAACAAAATTCAAATTAGGAGAACTGTCTAACACAGGTGGTTATGCAATTTTTATATTGAAATTTTCCTCTGATCCAAAAAAAGTACAAGTTAGAGTAAGTCCTCTAAGAGAAGCATTTTAAATGAATATTACTCTACTTTATCAGATAGATTACAAATCATAGATAGAGGCAAATCATAGTACCTATGCTAAAGTGTGGCAATAGACATTATACCCATGGACATTTAACTGAACAGCTTTCCAAAGAAGTTCTTCCAGTGATCTCATACTATTTTATAATGCATTGCAATCTGAGCACTAGTTATTAGCCCTAGTAATAATGGATTTGGCTTTCTGATGTCTTAACAACTTAAAATATAGTTAAGAGACAAGTTGCTAGATACCTGGATGGTCTAATCTCATCCAACTGTAAGAATTGTAAGTGAACCTTTTCCCTTGCCCAAGTTCAGAAGTAAGGAAGTAGAGAGGCCACTACATCTTTGCCCAGCTCCCACTTAAACCACTCTTTTTCCCTCTGGTTCCACTTGTTCTCTCTTCTCTAGCTTTGGGATTCAGGGAGAGGAGAAGTCAGGGAAACTGGTCAGAAAAGAAGAGGCCTTAAAAAGCTCTGAAACTTTCTTTCCCTGCTCCAGATGGATGCTCCTAGTACATGAGATCTGACTTATTGATGGCCTCTTCTTCCATGAAACTCCAAAGTAGAATAAGGGTACTGAGCAACATTTATCTCTTTCTCTGGTATTCATTTTAAGTAAAGGGTCTTTTAAAAAGATCAGATAACAGGAAAAGTGAGTCATATTTATTTGGAGTTAAATCATGATTTTAGTGATATAAAATTTATGCATACTTGTTCTTTATTATTTCTAGAAGGCTTTATTGTCATTACCAGTTTCTCAACAGCAAGTATTTTAAAGGATAAAAGTCAAATTCCTCCTGTCCCATTTACTTTTTTCTGTTGCCTTGTGTTAAAATGCAGTTATCTGGGGAAGGATGGGTTGGGAAAAGGGGATACAGATGCTAAGAAACAAAGCAAATAGGAATGGTTAAGGTCTACTTCTGTCTCAGAATAGAGGTCACATGGCATAATGTGAAGGAATATAATATCTGGAATAAAACAGAATGAGGTTCTAATTCTGGCTTAAGTGCTACCTGTGCAGCCTTGGGCAACACAATCTTTTTTTAACATCATTTATTGCATCTGTAAAATGAAAATAATGATGCCTACACTTAGTAAAGTTGAGAAGATTTGATTTAAACATAAAACATCAATTAATCCTCTAGACATAGGATGAGATCCTATATAGAACTTTCTGACTCAGTTTACCTAGAAAGGTATGCAATTCACACTTTTCTGAAGCAGTTTTGCTCCTGTAAACCCACATCCCTTCAGCTACATTTCCCCTTTATCCTTTACTTACCTCTGACTGAATCATCCACGATGTAGCCAGATATTTGTAGTTCAGCATCAAATTCTAAATAGTCATAGTCAGTTCCTGAGGACACTTCAGTACTAGAAGGCGTTTCAGTCACAGGGGAAATCTCAATTCCTGGGGTAGTCTCATTTCTTGAAGCAACCTCAGGTCCACTAGTACTGTGGTTCTTGGACAATGGTTCCCCTTTCCCAGAGTCAGTGTCATTGAGATCCAATCCAACAGCATGATGGCCTGCAGGGGAAAGATTAAGGAAAGAAAAGATGAAGCAGGGTGCCTCTCTCACCAGCCAGCTATGTTAAGTAGAACTGTTTATCTTCTGATATCAAAGCAGTTATTGCACATGTGCTATTGTTTTTGATTGAGTCACTTCACATTTTGCCAAAAAGCAAACTCAGCTGTTCCAATTACAGAGCTTCTTTTATCCAGGGTTTTCTTTCCACAGATAGTCTACATTAATCTCCACATTTTAAAAAAGGTCCAAATTAATGCAACATAAACACTTAACAGGTAATGTCTAAATATTCCCATCACTTTGCATTCCAAATTCATTTGTATTGCTAAAATGCTATCTTGCCCCATCTTTGTAGGTTCTACATAAAGATTAAATTTTCTTAACATATGCTCACATTTTTTTAAAATCATGTATATATAAAATGTAAAAGTCAATGTAAAAAGTAATGTCAATTTGGTGGCTGATAATAATCATCATTGTCAATTTTTCATTATTATTTTTATTTACATAGGAAAGAAACTTAAGGACTAGGTAAGATATTGGGTCCAGAGTTTCAAGACAGTACTTTATCTTACTTTGTTTTAGGTCTCAATAAAACAGCATCAGAGAGGTGATTTTAATCTTTCCCCAGGACATGAAAGTAAAAGGTGAAAATACAATCAACTAGACAAGAGGAGACGGAGAATTTAGGCAGGAGGCACCAAACACTCCTGGTTCAGGTATTAACTACTCTGTTGAAATCTTTCTGAACCTTTCTTCATCTGTACAACCAAAGGTTAAGATCAAAGGATCTCTAAAGTCTCCATCACCTGGACTAAAGTAAAAGTACAAGTATTCTTCAGGACACTCCTCCTGGCTGGATGCTAGAGACACTTGTCTGGGTTTTCTCTCTTCCTCCGAGGGAGTAACCTTAGAGGGTGATCGCCTCCAGGGGGACAGATTTCTTTTTGGAGAAGCAGTAGCAACATTCAAAAGGCGACAGATTCTGCCCGCCTGGAGAGAATCACCAGGCAGTTCAGAGCCAGCAGATCCTCACCTGAGCCGAGGATCAAGAGCAACAGCACCACCGGCGCCTCAGGCAGCAGCGGAGTTCTCATTGGTCCCTCGGGACGTCGGCGTCTGGGTCTCTGGGGCAACTCAGCAGCTACTGGCAGAAGGAAGAAGTGATAGAAAAAAAGGGGGCACAAGAGCGGCTGTGCTCCTGTGTTCGAAGGCCCGGCCCGGCCCCGCCCGGCTCGGCTCCGGGTGATGGGAGCCGCCGGCGCCCTGGGCTCCACGCAGGATCTCTGGGTTGCTACTCGCTCTCAGGCAGCAAGGTGTGCGAACGTTCGGTAGGCGCCCGCGCACCTGCCGCTTTATAGGGCCCGGCGGGGAGGGAGCCACCGCCTGTGACGTCACTACCGCGGCTGTGGGTGGAGGCGGGAGGCCGCCCCAGAAGTTACTACCCCAAAACCACACACGGATGGCGGGGGCCACACCTCCCTCGTGCGTAAAGAGCCGCGGGGAGGAAATAGAAAGTCAACCTCTAGGTGCAAGGAGAAAAAAATGGAGAATGGAGAGGTAGTACTGGACAGTCAAAAGTTCCAAAGTTTCAAACTATCTGAAAAAAATAAAATAAAACCTCTGTATATATTTTGGTTGATCTCAACGACAGAAAAGTTCCATGATGTAAAAGTACTGTAAGACCAAGAGTGACTAAGCAAGGGTAGCTTGTCTTTAGTGAGGATAAATGAAGTTCATTAAATGAGGAGAGAATCTCCTAAAGGGAAACTTCTTCAGGTATGATGGGCTTTCATCAACCAAAGGCCCTTTGCCACCCACTCTGAAATGGCCAGAATTTCAAACCATCTCCCTCCCCACTTTTTAGGTGGTTCAGGGTCCTGGCCAAAATTAGTATTTAGTGATCTCTTACTATGCACTTAAAATTTTACCTATACTATCTCACTCAGTAACCTGTTGGTAAAGTCTCATCTCCCCATTTTACAGGGAGATAAAGGGCAGATTTTACAAAGCAAAGAAGAAATTGACACAGCGTGTAATGGCAAGTGTCAGGTAGATTTGATTCAAATTCATATGGCCCTGAAGTTGGCCTCTTGCCACTCTGATAAAGAAATATAGGACTAAACTGATAAAAGAGGATTTCTGGGCAGAACAATGCTTAAGAAGAATCCATTTCTGCTGGTAACATTGACATTTGGGCAAAGGGTAGTGCCAGAGGTTCTGCCTCTCAAATCCCAAGATAAAAGAATCAGCTTCGACCACCCTTTTAGAACCCAGAAGGCATTTAATCATAAGTAGATAAAATGTAGAGGAGAGAGGGAGCTGCTGAATTGAACTTTGATGTAGTGGCAGCTCCAGAACTGGAATTTTCTTGACTTAAGAGAAACAAGTTGCATTGTTCTCCCTCTTTAACTGTCTCCTTGACCTGGAGATACATATCTCTTCCCTGATAGTGCCAGTAAAACAGCCTTTTTAGGAATGTGGGTCACAGTGCCTCTTGTCCTCATTCTGAGAAACTTTTAAAAAGCTTACTGGCCTTTCAGTGGTATATCACAGTGAGTAGGCTAAATAATGCCATACATTTTGCAGAATAAAATGAGCAAGAGTCATGAATCATGTCTTCGAGTCAACATTTGTTGAAAGTGCATTTTGTGTAAACCACCTGTTATACTGTTATGGGGGCAGGGGGTGGGAGTTAAAGAGGAAGATTAAATAGTCACCAGATGCCTGTGTTTCAGGAGTTCGGTGGTGTGGCCCAGACAGCATCTATGGTTATCCTGGAAAGTTTGAGGAAAGATGGAGAGACCCCCTGAAAGGCCTTCACAGCAGAAAGTTCAGATGAAAAAAAAGACCCAATGTTGAGGTGTGACCAAGTGTGGAAACTAAGGCTGGAAAGGTGGCACTGCACATTCCAGGGTGAAGCAGGGGCCTGCACTGTCATCTTTTTTGGTGGATGAGGCGATTGTGATTCAGAGATTAAAGACTTGCCCAGGATTTCAAAAGGTGATAGTAGAGATTTTGTTTGGAACTCAGGCAATTGGCCTATAATGTACATTTTGTTTCCCTAGGTGTCAGTTTTGTTCTGTTTTGTCACTGTTCCTCCAATTTTCCTTTTATAAAATTTATTTTTTAATGAACAAGTGAAAATTGCTTATAGCTATGTTGTACAACATAATGTCTTGATATGTTTTCACTTGGGCTATATCGGGCTATTTAACATTTGCCTTACCTCCCATTTTCTTACACTTTATTCTATCATCAGAAATGGTCCACTTTCTATTTGAAGTGAAATTGGGTTCTTTACATTAGAAATTACTTAGTCTTTCTCCAATTGGAAATTCAGAGGATGATAATTTACATTTCTGTGGAACATAACCTAGATCGTGGAAACAGAATAGCTTAGAGCTTAATATGAGCTTTAGAGTTGAATCAATCTAGGTTTTCATATCCAAACTCTACCACATACTAAATTCCTGATATTTAAAAAACTCAAATTCCTCACCTGAAAATATGAATAAAGAAACACCTACCTGCTATTAAGCAGGTCAAATGAGATAAAATATATAAATAAGTAGCAAAGACCATAGCATATGTTAAGTACTCAATAAACTGTAACCTTGACATTATGAAATTATGCTATTGCAAGCACATTAAAGAACCAAGTAATTTTTATAAATGGAGATGCTCACAGAACAAGTGAAATCATCCCCTTCATTATTTTCAAGCCATGAACTTTGTACATACTTCACACTAAGACTAACCATTTTGAGCGGCTTATGATGCATCAAAGGGTAGCATAGGGGCATCATCATAGTCGCATCACAGTGCATCACCTACTGATGTGTCATGGCATTCTGGAATATGTGCCTGAGTAGTAAACCAGCTTCATGTAAATGAAGGACTCTTTATGTTCTGCATGCTAGCCTGAGACAAAAAGGAATAATTTCTACAAATTTGAATAGGATCTCTACTTTATCTTGATAAACAGATAGTTCCCTAACCTAAGAGGCTAAGGGCAGCCTAAGTCAAATGCCTCTAACCTGCCACTCCTGTTGGTGCCTACTAATCTGTATCCTAATATTTGAAATGCTCATAAAAAAACTTACTTTTATTCCACTAAAATATATGCTGTAACCAAAACTATTGTCATGAACTTATTCAAATAACCTTGCATTTTTACAGACAGTGCAAAATCTGAGTATTACAATATGATCAATTTTATTGTGAGTCATGAACCCCCAGACCACAATTTTAAAATTCTCAATCTATAGATAGTATTTCCTATATTATTAACAAACATATTAATTCTATTTAGATGTTTATAATGTTCTACTTTTTGTCTTGGAATTTACCCATGCTACAGAATTATTTTGTTATTATATTATTATTTCGAATTTCTTCGAGGAAAAGAGCCTACAGGCACAGTGGCACAAACCTGTAATCCCAGTAGCTTAGGAAGCTGAGGCAAGAGGATCACAAGTTTAGGCCAGCCTCAACAACTTAGCAAGGCCCTAAGCAACTTAGTGAGACTCTGTCCTAAAATAAAAAATAAAAAGGGCTATCGATGTAGCTCAGTGGTTAAGTGTCTCTGGGTTCAATTTCTAGTATACCCCCCAACCACCAGAAAACCCTTAAATGAACTTGGTAGTTGAACAACTCAACAAACAAAGCTAAATTATTTGTCCTTTACTACCTTTAACATCATAACTTTTGCAGGGCAAGGATTGGTAGATGTGAATGAAAGCATCAGGTGATACAACAGAAACTAAGTAAACCCAATATACAAATAATTTCATTTATGCAAAAGAAAAAATATGAATCTTCTATGTAGTTAATTTGTTTCATCAAATACATTTTGAGAAGTAGGCACTATTCTAGGCACTGGGGAGAGAACTTTGAATAAGTCACAATGTCTTTGTTTTTAAGGACTTTATATTCTATACAGGGAAACAATATATAAAATGAATTTGGATAGTGAAAAGGGTTAGAAAGGAAATAAAATACGTGAAATAGAGGGTTTGAAATGGTGCAGGGAGAGGATGCAAAATAAAACACAGTCCCTACACTTAGTATTTCACATTTTCTCTTTAGAGGAGAACAATGGCGGGATTATATGGAGAGTAGTATCCTACTGAATAATAAGTGTGGATGATCAGAGGTACAGAGACACACGTGGGCAGGAAGAACAAGGGATGCAAAACAGATATAAATCTTGAATTGGGCCTCAGAAATGTGGAGGGGTAGGACTTTTAATCTAGGAATTCATGTCATTTCTTCTGTACCCCTCTAAGCACTGCAAGGCAAAAGCTTCTTTAGCACTTCAAGGAGTGGACTGAAGAGAATCACCTCAGAATGTTCTCACTTTCCATTCTCCTCTCTTAAATCCATAGGTTTGGAGGCAGGTCCAAGCCTCTGTATTTTTTTTTGAAGAACTCTCAAGAAAATTCTCACATGCACTCTGAAGAAGAATCACTCCACTAGGGGATAACCAGGTAGGAAAAAAAAAATCAAGATTTCTACATTCAAGGAGATTATAAAGTAGCAGGGCTGCACATTCATGTGCATGGAAGTTTTGTTGGAAATGTGAAGAATGGAGAAGTGAATTTCACAGGAGGACTACACTGGCTGAGGCAGCACACAAGCAAAGTGAGAGGAAGACACTTATCTCTAAAACACTCATGTTACAAAATGATTCAAACACTATGTCTTTAAAAATAGGGAACTGTACTGTGCCAAAAATATGTTTGAATATATTTTTTAAAATCCACTTTGGATATATTTGTTTAAGAACCAATTTGTCACATAAAAGCAAAAGATCTATGCTAGATTATTATAAATCCTCGGTAATTTGATTCTGAATATAAGACCACAAAACAGGGTATCTGCAACCATCATATACTGAAATAGGAAGCATTCAAATTGTAGTAAGCTATTAATTCTTTATCAATTTGTAATTTTAGAATAAGATTTGGCATTTTTACTATTAAAAAATAATATTATAAAGTCAGGTGATTGAGGTGATCAAAGTCCAATGAAGATATTTATGGACTGACTTACGAATGGTAGTCATTAAATATATTTGCCTTGATTTTTAAAA